AGTTACCGCAAAACGTCTCCTTAGACGGGTGTGTGATTTTCCGCCGTTGATATTCTTTAACTCCCCCGCGGTAAGAGGAGGATAAGTAGTGGATGTTATATATATATATATATATATATGGAAACAACTACTGTGTGCATTTCAGTAGGCGTGATTATGCCTGTTCATTTTAGTTGGCGTCGTAGTACTTGCAGACGGGTAACTTCTACTTCAACCCATCTTGGCAATCCTACTACTACACCCTCGGCTCCCATTTCACCTTTGCTCTGTGTCCGTCTGCAGTGAATGGCGTAGCGTGATTAGCTGGCGCCATGACGCCGATGGCTCCGGCAGCGAATCAGACAGGAGCGTAATAAAAGCGGCGGCTGCGGCAGCGATCGCGAGAGAGGACTGCTCCAAAATATGTGCGCGTGCATTTATTTGCATTGAAGCCGCTTTTCTCAGCATCCACCTCACCCGCTTCTCCCAAATGCAGGGCGTAGGACAAGCACCACACGATTGTCGATTTTTGCGGTGGCTGACAAAAGAAAATTACCCGTCTACGCGGACCACACATGTACCACGTTTCTGTTAGAAAATCTCGGAGTCCTTGCATAAATTAATGTTAAGCTGCCAGCAAGTTCATGCTTAGCCAGGCACTTTTAACTTTCGTAGTTCGGCCTCCAATGCGTGCAGCACATTGTAAGTTAATAATTCTCAAGAAGTTGTTCGAGGGCACTAATCGTAAACGCCTAAAATATTTAACCAAAGGGCCACCGCACATTAGGACTGTCAGTGCATCGTGCTTGCTCTGGGGCAGATTGGTTTGATTACAGTGAAGAGAAAAACCATTTAATTCGGGTTGTGTAGACCTCCGTCTCTGCTTCCTGCTCATGTAGGCTTCACTATATGTGGTCAAGACTAGACACAGTAGCCGAAATGGCGCGAAAGTCGTCTTGTTCTTGTGATATGCATCTGCCGGCCTCCCTACCCCCTTCCAGAGATCATGGCGTGCAAGTCTCACATAAGTGAGCGACGCACATCCCACAGCTTGGTGCCCTCCACCTTCCCCCTTGTTAGTCACGTGTGCGGCTGAGTTCAATCATGAAACTGTGCGGAAGTCGTGTGCATTTTGGAGGTGAATAGCATGGTAACGTTTGCGTGAGTCGTGACTGACCGACACGGGTCGCACGTACCCGCTTGAATGGTGTCGGTGTGAGTATTAGCAACACCAGA